TTACTCTCTGTAGGCACATGTGAGGCCATGAGTACATTTTAACACTTTAATGTCCCTAGACTCTGCATGTCGTAGTACAGTCCATGTATGCACTCACTTTTCCGCTTTGCTTTGTGCGTGTAAAATCTCCGCCTCTTGAGTGAGCCATGGTTGGGAACGGGTCTGGGGAATTGATCACTCCACTAGTACCCTCTACTCAGCCTGCTGGTTCACTCCAGCAGGAACCTCAATATAGACCCCAATATACTATAGTCCTTTTAATGGGGACCCCCCAAAAAGGTACCCCTCATTTTGGGAGACCCTAAACCTTACATGTCCCTATATACCCCTATATGAACCCCTACATAATCCCCAAAAGTCTACCCCTAATTTTGGGAAACTACCCTGTTACATTGCCCATGCTTGGCAAGCTAGGTCACCAGATAAAACTTAACCATTCGCCCCAAAGCCTCTAAATCCTACGTCCCCAATGAAGTATGATTTCCCCATATATGTTCCGCATACGTATCATTGTTCGAATCCGGGGAAATCCTAATTGCCAGGATCTTAAACGGCATAAGGAACCCCCGCATCCCGAATAATCATGATGATGATAGTGAGAGAGATATATATATAGTCCCCCTTAAGTAGATAGAATATGGCTTTGAGTATATTATAATCATATACCCCATATTCTATCTACTTAAGGGGGTGTATATATATATATATATGTACACATAAAGATTCCCAACATGAAGCTATTTTGGTTTATGCCCGCTGTGGGTAGATAAGCTTATATATAGCCCCACCGCCACACTTGTCGATATGCACATGTGTGTATATAGACTAAACCCTACTATAGTGCCGCCGGTTGGTTGCAGACTTAAACATGTCTTCAAGTAGCCCACACAAGTCCATGCTACATGCCAGGCACCTAGACCATCCAAATTTCTGTAAAGAGTGCCGTGTACCCATTATTCAGGATAAGAGGCCATTACTATAGTTACGTGGAGGTCTAGGTAGATCTTCAATTTGGAAGCTCATCCTTTAAAGCCCTACAGCACACAAGCCAGTTCCCATCTGAATTTGCCAGTTGATTCTCAATCACTTGTAGTTAGTCAGGCCCTCATGCTGTCATTATGGGTATGTTGGAGATCTTTCCCCCTGTCAGCAACTATGTGCGAAAGGGTGCCCATAAGGGGACGCTACTAACTTTGAGAACTTCTTGTGGTAACCGTTGATGTATAAAGGGGGAATGATTTAAGGGATGTGGGTGGTCGATGTCGATCTTCAATTTACTGGTGGTTAGTCAGTAGGTAACAAGAGAATACAATCCCTGCACAATCCCTATGAAAAGTAGTCCCTTTTTCCCTAAACCCTAAACCCTAAACCGTCTTCCTCACCACCAGTAAGTAAAAGGCATGGGCGGCTTCTTCGGCGGCACTGCGAGCGAGGCAAGCACTTCCATGGGAAGCGGCTGCTTCGTGCCTTGTCTTAGTAGTCTTACGGTTGAGGTTCATTTAAAATCCTGCATGACATTTGTATAATGCCATAATTCCCAAGATATATAAGATACCTGGTGTCATGCAGGATTTTGTCGTATGCGCTGAGGTAGTGCAGGGGTTGCGCACGAGGGTTTAGATAGGGTGTATTAGGACCTATTGAGGGAATAGTAGTCTTACAGTGCGAGTGTTTTGGTGACTCTGGCTGGATTCGAGCCCTAATGCCCTACAAACCAATTTGCTCAAGTATTTGGGCCTCTATTACGGTATCGCCGCCGCTTCAAGCTCTCTAGGCATTGTCGGGTCTGTTGAAGGCTCCCGTGTAACTTATGGTTTGTGTGCATGTCAAATACCGGAAACCAACAGTGTCGCAGCAACCCTGACACTTTATCTTTCCGAGATCTTTGCTGATGCGGGCTAAGGGCGCCGCTGGATCCGAGAGTTCCGAAGCTGGCCCCATGAATCCGATGATGGCGCCATGACATCCACAGGGCTACAGAGAATAATCGGTATATAGGGTTGAGGTCGACCACCCCAATAATGGAAAAGCAAGTGGAAAAATGCATCATGAAATGGCAGCGGGCATTACATAAAAGACATAACCACCAACGACGGAAAACCACATGGCAAAGAGAATGGCAAATTAGATGGAAACTGGGTTGAGATAAGGCTTTCTTGGGACTGTAATGTAGAGGCCTGAGAAATTCCCAAAGACCGTTTGGAGCATATTTGAGGTACCGTATACCACAACTATACAAGTAATACAGCAATCTGGGACCATAATATTGGTAATTTTTTAGGCTTTGACTTGTAAAGGAAAACAGGGGATAATTGGTCATAAATTCCGGGGTGAATATGAATCCCTTACCCCCTGCGGCAGCTGAGATTGGAAAGGGGGAATGCTTGATCGTTATTGCCTCACATTCCCTATTTATGGTCATCGTATCGCTGCGGTAAGATCTCTACAGACTGGCCTTTGGTTAGCTGGGAATAAAGGAATGGAAAAGAAAATGGAAACTACTATCAGGGGTTATATAGGGACTACAATAAGGATCCATTCCTTCATTCCTAGCTAACCACAGGCCAGTCTTGGGGTTGGGGTTGCCAGGTAACCCTCATTAAGGAGGGCCGCGGCTTCTTTCTATCTGACGGCGTAGATGAGCATGTTGAAAAACAAGGCTCTTTTTCCATATATATATATAGACAAATACATAGGTATGTAGAGATACATGCCAAACCAGCCTAATCCTTGTCATAAGGACTCCCGAAACACGACTTCCAAAGTTTGAGCCCCAGATGAAGACCTCAACAGCAGTCGTGCTATGAAATCCCACCTATGTGATTGTCATGGTGAACCTTGGGTGTTGAGGGTTTACCCATTTCCAAGTTAGAAGCAGTAAAGTCTTGACCTCTAGACAAGGGCAACTCAAACCCTAAACCCTAATCCCAAAACCCTAGCCCCTAAACCCTAATCTCAAAACCCCCTAGACCTTCATCCCAAAGCCCGAAACCTTGAACCCCCGCATCAGATGTCAGGCTATGGCTCAGATGATGCTGGAGACGCAGAAGAAATTGAAGGAAGCCCAGGACAGCTGGTAGCTGGTGCAGAGTTAGAGTTTTAGGATGTTTTAGGGTTTTGAGGTTTCAGGGTTTCAGGCTTTAGGATGTTAGGGTTTGAGTGTGCTAGGGTTCACGTAGGTTTTAGGGTTTAGGGGTTGTAGCGTTTAGGGTTTAGGGGTTTGCGGTTACTATGTGGTCAGACTCTCCGCACACGTTCGCTGCTGGTTCTGAAAGTTTGGGGCAGCCGTGGCATATTCAGACCACGGGGAAGTATCCCAACAAAGGATGGGGTGCATGTGAGTCAACTGAAGGCTTTTTTTGCAACCTTTCTTGTGTCCATTGACGGTTCAGAAGCGAGGGCTTTTGCAGTATGTTGAAGTTTTGGCAGGAGCTTGAAAATAAGATAGCAGGGAATTCCGCAACTGGGAACCTAGGGTAGGTTTTGGAAGAAACAAGGGACCTGGAGGTACAAGGGTGGGTTTGGGGGTTGGACGCATGGAGTTGGGCCCAGGAATGTCGCATATGCTGGAGGCGGGATGTGTCAATCTTGCTGTCCTGTTTTATCAATGTGGGGCACGGTGTACAAGGCAGGCACTCAGAAGACCCACATGTTGTCAAAGGGCATACATACGACACACGCACTTCAGGTGCCCCATTGTTGTTGGCAGACACTTTCAGCCCTATATACACCCCAAACACCCAACCCCCCGGGCCCCCCCCCCCCAAATCCCAAATGCCAAGCCCATGCGTTAGTCCAGCCATTCAATCAGGACAGGATGAACAAGGTGTCAGAAGTCACTGGCACTGGCCACTTGCCTTCAGCTCCTTTCGAGTTCTGGGCTTTGTATAATGTGGGACGCTCGATATATTCGCGCCCCCCCTCCCCCAGAAGCTTAAGGCACAGGTTCGGGGATGTGTAGACATGAGAAACTTTGTGGATACGCTGCTAATTTGGACTCGCATGGCATTTTTCGTTCGTGTTGTTTTCTCTCTTAGAGCGGCCCAGGAAGCTCCTCCTCTGGTGGCTGTCCGATGGGTTTCTTGGCAGACCAATGCCATAGTTTGCCCCAAGTAGATGTTTTCAAATTGTTTGTTGGGCTTATGAGTTTAGATCCGGAGATTAGGGTCCAGGGTTGGTCTTGCAACTCCTTGGACCTGTGTAGACACTGCAGCCGAGTCTTCGGCAAAGTCTGCGCCCAGAATTTCGATTTTCATAGGATGTGCTGTCAGACATGATTCAGTCACGACAACAGCGTGCCACAAAGCTGATGTATTCCAGGGAGTCCATTGGACATCTCATGTAGTGCTCGCTGCTCGTGCTGCAAGTTGAGCTGCATGTTGCCGCAGGCTGCAGCGCCAGAGCCCAAGGGCTGTAAGATTCTTTGCCAAACGTCATCTCTACAATGAGCGGGATAGGTCTTGTAGACATGACATACTTATTCAGGCATCCGGGCACATTGAAGCTTCAGCCTTGGCTCTGGGGTCGAGGTCAATTTTGCTGTTTGGGAACTTGAGCGCCAAGCTTTGTCTTGCTCATCCTGCAGGCGGCAACTGTGGTGGCGGCTGCGCTGGTGGCTGTAGCGCTTGTGGCGGAGGCTGCGGCAGCTGCTACGGCGATGGCTGCGGTTGCGGCGGCTGCGGCGGCTGCGGCGGCTGCGGCTGCTGCGGCGGCTGCGGCGGCTGTGGAGGCTGCGGCAGCTGTGGTGGCTGCGGCTGCTGTGGCGGCTGCGGTTGCTGTGGAGGGTGTGGCGGATGCGGTGGCTGTGGAGGCTAGGATCGGATCACAACTTGCTGTTGGAGATGTAGAAGCCGCGTGTGCACTGGCATTGTTCTTGAAGCCCATTGATCTAGGCTGACACCCTGCTTTCCAGTGCTACATGACCCCCGGATTTCCCAGATTCGCTTCTAGGCTCTCCAAAGAAGGACTTTCTACGAAATCCCCCGTGGGCAGCTAGGGATCTTCTCTAGACTCTAGACTCTACATCAAGCCACACCCTTTAAGCATACATTGCCGGCTATAGGCGAGAGGCCAGAATTCCGCTCAACCAAGCTCGGCCCTCCAACTGCCCAACTAATTTGCGCAGGCTGTGGCATGGGAAGCATGGGCGGCATGGATGGCGGGATGCCTGGGGGTTTCGGACGCGGGTGAAGGCTCAGAGCTTGCGTAAGTACCATATCCGTACGAATGGATGAACCACCATCACCATAGCCATTTCTACTATCCGAAGAGATGCGGGCAAGCAGAATTCATACTGTGGGTTCTGTGCAGGGTTCAGGCGCAGCAGTCTTTAAGGTCCACTCCTTTGGCTCTTCACCTGCCCTTGAGGACTTAGGTTCTGCAAGCCGAACACAGAAGTTTTGCTCAGCTTTGCGAGTTGTTGTTTCTTCCAACAGGCGAATGTTTAGGCGTCTTCCAACAGGCGAATGTTTAGGCGGGGTGTTCCGCGTGAGAAGGAGGAAGCCATATGTGGTAATTACTCGTCATTGTTAGGAGGTGCTGATGCTGAAGCCTATAAGTTAAGCCATCAACCATTGCCGTCCGAAGCCTTCAGATGCCCTGTCTGCCTCCCTGTCTGGGAAGGAGCTGCGTGTTTCACCGGGGGGGGCGGCCCTCCTAGAGAATACCTAGACTTCCAGAACACTCAGAGCAGATGCCTTCAACTCAAGTAGAGGTGCACATAGGCAACGAGTCAAGGTGTTTTGAAAGTCTAGGTTGGACCAGCAGCGACCCGAGAGAAAAAGCGACAGCTTCGGGCTGAGAACTTCTCAGCAGGGAGTGACCTACAAATAGCCCCAACAAATCCACACGCTAGCTTGCGTTCATGGAAGTTTCAAGTCCTTACCGTGGTTGCAACTTGGGCGGCGGGGTACATTTGAGAGGATGTCCGGCTATTCCACGCTTTGGTGATGAATCGCCTCTCTGTCTAGGTAGGATTATTGAGGGAAACCATTCTGCACGCGATGAGAGCATTCTCTTGAACAGAAAAGTATGCCATACAGCCCTACAGTTAGCTTGATCACAATCAACCCACTCTAAGTGCAGCTTTCCGAATCCCTTGTGGCTGGAGAAGGAAGGTGCACCCAGACTCTGCACATGCTCCCAGAACTTAAGACAGTTTGCTGAAGTGATTCATAGACCTGAAGTCTTGTCGTCAGTCAGACCTGTGGGTATTTGTAGGTTCGAGAGCGTTACCATTTCCTTTCTCTGCATTCGCTGACAAAGCTGCAGCATTCCTGAAACCAAGAAGACGGCAGGAAACATCACTGTACAATCCACCCAAAAGTGCCCAAGTTCGGAAGCCGCTGACGGTGGCCCGCTTCATGCTTTGCGACACCTCAAGAACACATGACAGCTTCCCACGAACAAGACCTGAGGTGCCGACCTTTCCCTCCAGCCCCAGTTGGACTGTCACATAGGGAAAAATCATTGAATGACATTATGCCCACCACCACCGCCGCTGCTGCCGCCGCCACCACCGCCACCACCGCGACTAACCGCAACCTCCGCCACCAACAGTGGCTGCGGCAGCGGGTTACAGCCGCAGCAATAAGCTGAGGCACCTAACAGGTACAGCATGAGTGACCATCATCATTGCAGCAACTCACAGTTCGCGAGTGTTGCCAAGATGTGAGACCCTTTCTTCTTGCCGCGAGGAGGGTGGGGCTAGTTGCTGGATACGCGCGGTGCCGTACTTCAAGCACAAGACTCTTTGCTTGCTTCAAATCGGGGTGTTAATGATCTTGATGCCTGCTTGAGCATGCGAGGTCTTAGTTCGAGCTACCTGGGTGCTGTGACAGTTGGGGGTTGTCAGATCACGCATCGTCAGGCGGCAGTGGTATTGGGCGGTCTGCTAAAGCTCGTTGTTTGTGGGCACACACTAATGCTCAGAATCCTTGCTCAGGGACATCGCGAAGCGTTTTCCTGGTGGAGCTGTTCGCTAGCTCAGTACAGTAGTCCAGTCCCTTGCAAGCTGAATTGGCTAGGACCTGCCCAGGCCGTTGCCCTTAGACCCACCCCTTTCAGGCTATCCTAGAGTTGAAGACAGCTAAGGACGCAGGGCGACCCCATTTCCTTGAATGAGCAGGTGCCTGCAGCCAAGGGTCGGGTAGGTCACCAAGGCATTCAATCCGATTTCACTGGGGAAGTCTGTGGGTATAGTGCAGTCTCTAACAACACCTTCAGCAAACCCACCGACCAAAAGGCTGAGAAAGCAAGATTTAATGCCCCAGGCCCAAACAGCTCCAAAGCCAAATCGACACCTTTTCCAAGCCAGTCTAAATGCCCGAAGTCTTGTGACGATACAAGTTTCTCCAGGTTAACTAATAGTTTCTGGACATGCATCGTACTTGATTGCAATGGTTACTGTAGGCAGTAGCTATCATTCTACTGCTCTTACTGCTATCAGTGCTGCTGAGACTACTGTTGGTGCTGCTGCTTTCCTCTGCTGCTTCTGTTTACCTATCACCGTCATCAAAACCGCCACGCAATCGCAATTGTTGACAATGCTATGGAGGGGTTGTCACAGGCACGATGCTTGTTACGACTACAGAGGGTGCTGCACCAGCGCCGGACAAGAGAATTCCAGAGCCAGGGTAGTCTGCGCTTCATATTCTTTCTGCGGCATGGAAGAAGGTTTGCGGTTTGCTTCAGGTTGAGGATGAAGACCCCAGTGTCAGCGCACTCTGGTTTTCTTGTTTTTTCTTCGCGTAGTCTTGCTTGTAGCTGTCGCTGTATCCACAAGAAAGATCACCTCCTTGGCAACCGTCCATCTGACCCCCAAGCCCTGGCGACAGGTTCTATTAGAAAGCGCCCGTATGGGCTCAGACTGGAATTTGAATCCTGACTGCAGAGCTTTCACAGGCCTTGCTGCGGGTGCAGGGGGAAATGGTTTATGGTGCAGTTTTGAGGGCTTGCCCAGATTGTCTATAGTCCCCCTCAAGTAGATTGAATATAGTTGCCCTTCTGGGACTCATTTGAAATCATCAAGGTCAAGAAGGAGGGTACTTCTTTCGGAGTCCATCATCCCTACACCTTATAAATCCAACAAGCCGGAACCCCCAAATATACCACCAAGACCCAACGCCCCCAGCCCCAAGCCACAGTCCCAATTTCTTCAACGCTAAAGGCCGAACCTCCCATGCCTACACAATTACGATTGGCAAAGGAATTATTCTCGCTGCCGGAACTTGGCGCGCGATGAGGCCGGCTTGTGAAGATCCGATTTGCAATAAGCAAGAGCGTTGTAGGGTATCGGGAATTTCCCTAAAGAACATGAGTTTCTGTGATCTAGAAACCAAAGCACCAGCTTCAAAATATATCGAGTCTGCAGAAAGCCCTAGAATCGTTGTAACATGTCTGCAAAGAACTTATTGAGCTCTCTATGTAACTCCAGCAAGAATCCCCCAGAATCCTTGTATTTGTTCAGCATGATCTCTACGCAGCTATATATATATATGTATATAGCTCTCCCCTAAACCCTTATGATCCAAAGTCCTGAGTAAATTATTACTTACATCATCCGGCATAGCGTTATGCAATCGTAGATGATGTCCCATACAACCTTATTCATGTTTTTGGTGTCTGGTACAATTTCATGCCCTAAGCCCAGTAGCTCAGAGTGGCGGGCAGGTGTTGGAGGTGAACTGCCTCAGACACGGAAGGACACCTGGCCTCTGCAGTCCTGCGAATTGAGGATTTCTCGCCCTTACATCAAAGACTTCTTAAATTGAACCCGTAGATGTATGCACATCTATGTTAAACTGCATATGCCCATTATGTTAGGTGGGCTTGGCACATATTGGGTAGGGGGTGTTTAGCATTGCCGCTGGCAAGTCACCATTTGATATTTACAAATTGAATCTGGCTATAGGATATGCTTCGTGGGTTTTCAGGAGTATGTTCTACTACGTAGCGCTACGGCCCAAAGAAGTGCAGAAGACAAGATCTTGTTGAAAATAACGTGGGAGGCCTTGAGAGCTTCAGACAAGGAACCTTGGTTGTTTGAGCTGCAACAGGTTTCTCAAAATGAGCCTGTAGGGACCCCAGCAAGACATGGGGTTGTAAGGATTTTCTGCAGTCATTCTTCAGGAGTATTCGGACCTAAACTTAAACCCTAAACCCTAAACCCTGAAAAACTCGCTTGAAGAGTCCAGGCTCTGGCACGCGAAATCATACGGCTTTCATCCTAAAGTACAAGACAGGTGCGTGCGTATTACCCGAAATTAGGGTCCCATTTTGGTACCCCTACGCATGTTACGTGCCGTAACATAATCTATAACCAAAAGGGGCCCATAATTTTGAGAACAACCCACATGTAGAACCCAGAAGATTAAGACCTTACCACTTTAAGCCCCGAGGCCTTAAGCCCTGGACCTTCGCTCCTCAACCAGGAGTTTTTACCTGGTCTTGTACAGCCGCAACCAGAAGGCTAGGCCTCTCATCCCAGTGTTTGGGGCTTTCGGATTTAGAGGGCCGGTTGCAAACTCGGTTGAGACGAAGGATTTGGGGTTGAGGGGTGGAGGGTTGGGAAAGTGAGGATTCTCCTAGTGTTCGAGAAGCGGGGTCAGTGTCCAAACTTCTGAGTAAAGACAGCCTTGAAAGCCACAATAAGACCCTTAGCATTCTTTCGGGAAGTCGTAATTCTATGGTTCAGTGGTTAGGGTTCTTTTTTGATATGCTGTTCCAAAAACAGGGACCTATACTGTAGTATGTTGGGATCGGTATTTCGCCTCCCTAGCTTGCAAACTGCCATATGGTTCGGGA